CAACTGTAACTAAAGTTCAGAGGTTATTGTTTAAAATGTCAAAACTTCTGTCTTTTGTGTTAAGGGAGCTGCAAAGGGGACAACATGAGACAATTTAACTATTATAAAGGGTAATGCAACCACAAAAATAGCCCACAAACTCACTCACTCATTTTCTATACCACTTAATCCTCATACGGGTCATGGAGAGCTGGTGCCTAACTCTGGCAAACAATCCACAAATTAAAGCAAAATAAGAAAATTTGAATAATGACATGAGCTAGACTATGTAACAAACTGGCTAAAATAAAAATAGAATAGCATGAAGCACAAACAGCTTCATCATTTAAAAAATGCCCACAAACAAGAAAAGGACATTTATACAATATTAATAGAAAATGTAGTATAAATAGAGTTTCTGTGCAAATTTAGACCTCAAAACAACTGAAGAAAAAATGACTAAATTAGTCTGAAAATTACCTTTACATTTACATCTTTTGGGGATTTTGCATAAAAATATCTAAATGATAAAGCAAAACAAAACATCTGCCAGCAGATGGAGACAAAACAAAGACAAGTTACTAACAGATTCTAAAAATACATTTTTCTGCTAAACAAACTAGCATAACACATTTTTTCATGCCTCTTAAAAACATTCTAACATAGTTTAGCAATAAATGTTTTGCTGCGATAAAAGAAAATACAACAACTTGTGGTTGTCTTGCATTTGTCTAAAAACCCAGTTTGGCCTGTGATCCGTGAGGCAACCAAGCAATTCATGTCAGAGACACTGGCTGTGTCCGAATCCAGAGGTAGGATGCTTGTGAGTACGGGTCCTCGCCGGTCTAGCAAGGCCTGGTCCTTGCAAGACCGCTAAAACCGGAAGTCAGCGGCTCTGAATTCGGACAGTACTAGCCTCGTTTTTATTCCCGCCCCCAGGTCAAGTTGCCTAGCTACCGTGACGGCGGCAAACAGGCTAACAAGCTAGTAGCAACGTTGAAAATGGATCCACAGCAATATTTCATTTTATTTGTGGTTTTTGAGGAGCTGCGACGGCTCAATAAACGTCACCGGCCTTTGTATTTAAAGTTTAAAAATCATTTAGTCCTGTTATCTGCAAGAGTTACAAGTATTATACTCATGATCTCCTTTTATGCATATATCTGAATGTTAGTGATGTGACAGCCGTCGATTGAGCCAGCCCAGCAAACCCTTTTGATGGACGATGCAGTGGTCAGTGAGATGAGGCATCCAGAAGCACCCTCTGCAGACCACTCTGTCTGATGTTCCACTTGCCAACCAGAAACGTTCAGCCACGGATCTCGGTTCCAGCACTCCATCCACCTCGATCCATGTTTAGTAGATTTAGCAACACCACCAAAGACTCCCTGCTTTCCAAGTTTACTGTTTAGATTTTACTTTTATCTTTACTTTTATTCCTTACAGTGTTCCCTTACAATTTATTTACTATGTTGTTACTTGTTAAAAACTGAATAATAAAACTGTTAATGATCAAAAAAGAGTTATCAATTAATAGAAATTTTATTACATTTAAACAAATAACAAAAACATTCAAACACATATATAGAACCTGAACCAGAAGAAACTAAAAGAAAAAAACCCCATTTCTCTGCCATCCTTTCCATCAATGCTAAAAATCTGTCCATCCTTCTTTCTCTCCTCTCCTCCGCTTCCCTCTGTTGTCTCATGTCCTCCCTGATCAGGTCAAGGAGCTCATCAGCCCTTCTCCTTTTTCTCCCTGATGAGGAGTCCGGCTTCCTTCCACCACTCTCCCTGTCCTCTGTCTCACCCACTGCTGCACTTGGCCCTGGAGTGTCCTCGGGAATGGAAGCAATAAGGACAGGAGGCATAGTGGAAGGCCTCTGTCCCAACACCTCGTCCATGGGGACAAACCAGGGCCAGGTTTCAGCAATGGGCTTTCCGCTGACTCCCTCTCCTGACCCTGGATTCTTGCAGTCCTACAGACAAAGGGAATGAGAATTACAAGGCTTTATTGTCATTTAACAACAGAGAAAACTGTGGGCATAATGAAATTACAGATGCTCCTTAAAGGTACTGGTTCTGGATAAGAATAGAGAGGAATAGAAGAACAAAGTCAGATTATAAATCATAGTTGATAAAACATGCAATAAACAATATTTTAATTTATCAACATGGGAGATGAAAATTGTGTTCTGTGTTTTTTTCCGCCTAAAATGAAATTAAAAAAATTTAATCAGTAATGTGGTTTCTTAAAAATTAACTTAAATAAACATTAAACTTAGTTTTCGTTATTTTTGGCGTTCATTACATGATTACATAAGATGCAAGCTCTTTTACGGTGAGTTTTTTCCTATTAGACTTTCAAGCAAGTTTACGGTGGGGTGTTAACCTTAAAACAAATGATGAGAAGCTTTATTTGCTAAATAAACACACACACACAGGAATTATGACGGGACCACCATACAAGCTCGTTCTCGCTGATTTCTGCTTAAAATGTACTTATACATACGAAAAATGTCTATAAACACAACCGCTTTCAGCTTAGTTTTCTACCGCTATTTTCTTTTAAAAAGCCTGCTGGGATCAAGCTAGTTTACGGTGGGTTTTTTCCTATTAAACATTCAAGCTGGTTTTCGGTGGGGCATGTTTTATCCTTAAATTACATGAAAAAAAAACAATTTGCGGTATTAGATCTTATAAAAAAAACAAACCAAAAGTGCCCAAACATGTATTTTATTTTTTTGACCGCTATTTTTTTAACTAACTTACATTTTAAGCTGTACTGCTGTCCCGCTCCTTCCGCCGTTGTTGCGAGTGTCGAGTCCAGCGGCCGGCGCGCAAAGCATGCTGGGATACCCTTGCTCCTGTGAGGATCCATCAGACCCATCCTCGAAATGTGGGTGGAGCGAGGACGCGTTTGAGGACGCGAGAATGAGTATTCTTGGAATTCGGACAGTACTCATCGCTGCGCTTTGACGTCATCGACCTCAAAATGCACTCTCACAAGCATCCTTCCTCTGGATTCGGACACAGCCACTGGCTGTCTCAATTCAGGGTCTGCATCCTACGTCGTCCGGATTCGTCGGCCGGTTACGTCACAGCGCCGCGACTAGGCCTGTCCCAATTCGAAGACTCCTTCAAATGCGGTCGACGAATCCGGCCTTCTTTTCGCCTGAATGAAGGATGGGTCTGGTGTATCCTTCAATAGGTAGCATTTCCCAAGATGCCTTGCGGGCCGGCCGGCGGACAGCGAAGCGAGAGCTGTTGGAGAGGATTGCGCATATAAATATCAGTATAAACTTGAAAACTGTTAGGTTAAGGACTTTTTGTGATACATGAACGTTATTCTAGTTAGAAATGTTACAGTAAAAGTGCTTGTATTGCGGTCTCGGCTCGTATGTTCGGCCGCTCGGTGTCGTACTTCTCCCGCTACGTTTTCCCCCTGATTTTAATAGAAGTTTGTATTTTAGGGACAAAAGAGAAAACAATGGACTTTATTAAGCTTAGGGTGGAGATGGACCACATGATCACTGGAGCAAAGTATTCGGCGGCTGTGGCATGGAGGTACAATAACATCTCATATTAAAAACTGGTTTCAGTTCATTGTTTTCTGCGAAAACATGAAAGGAATAACCCGTTGTCCTCTTTTCTCTTCCTGTTTCTTTTCTTACATGTTTGTTAAGACTATTCTGGAGAAAATGGGCATCCAGGGGAAGGTGACAGCGATGACCAGCTTCTGGAGCTGATCAGGGAGGACATGAGGCTGCAGAGGGAGGCAGAGCAGCAGAGGGCACAGGAGAGAAGGGAGAACTTTGACAGCTTTTTACTGCTAGAAAAAAATGGTTAAGGAAGATTAAACATGTACATATAAAAGAAATATCTAAATAAAATCAGTTCTGCATTAAACTCTTGAATTTTATTTTTGTTTACAAATGAGAATTGTTTACTAGAGGGTATCCGCTGGGTGTTGAAAAGTCTTAAAAGGTGATAAATCGGTTTTGGTCAAATTAAGACCCTTAGAAAGTATTAAAAACTAAAATCACATCTTTGCTCAGGCTCAGCTTGTCGAACGTATTTTCACTGAATTAGCTCTCCAACAGTCAAGGAAATGATTAAAGATCTAAATAAAACGTCGAGCTCCATCATTTAAAGTTCCTTCTCCCTTCTGCTCAGCGGTTCCACGGTTGCTAGGCGACGGAACGTTCGCCGAGGGAGTTCATGAAGGCTAGGCCTGTCCAAATTCACAGCCGTTAACATCCGGTCTACTCGGCCGACGGAGGACCCAGCCCACGTCGGCCGAGTAGGCTGGGTCCTTCGAAGGATGCAGACCCTGGCTGTGTCTCAATTCAGGGTCTGCATCCTTCGAAGGACCCAGCCCACCCGGCCGACGTGGGCTGCGTCCTCCGTCGGCCAGGTAGACCGGATGTTAACGGCTGTGAATTTGGACAGGCCTAGCCTTCATGAACTCCCTCGGCGAACGTTCCGTCGCCTAGCAACCGTGGAACCGCTGGGCAGAAGGTAGAAGAAACTTTAAACGATGGAGCTCGACGTTTTATTTAGCTTTTTAACCCCCAGAAACCCAAATTTAGAAAACAACTGCAAAATATTTTTTTAACCTTTCACATGTTGTTCTAGGAGGCCAGATAAACGGGCCTATTTACACATTTTAACAGCCAATAGTGTTGCAGAACTGAACAATAGGACCTATTAGCAATGTAAATGTGGTTTTAAAAAGAAAAAAAATGGGGAAGGTTTATTTTTGTAGACTTAAATCTGATGTTGTAATATTACAACCGTGGGTCTCTGGGGGTTAATCATTGCCTTGACTGTTGGAGAGCTAATTCAGAGAAAATACTTTAGACAAGCTGAGCCTGAGCAAAGATGTGATAATAGTTTTTAATACTTTCTAAGAGGTCTTAATTTGACCAAAACCCATTTATCACCTTTTAAGACTTTTCAAGACCCAGCAGATACCCTCTAGTAAACAATTCTCATTTGTATACAAAAATAAAATCCAAGAGTTTAATGCAGAACTGATTTTATTTAGATATTTCTTTTATATGTACATGTTTAATCTTTATTAACCATTTTTTTCTAGCAAAGTAAAAAGCTGTCAAAGTTCTCCCTTCTCTCCTGTGCCCTCTGCTGCTCTGCCTCCCTCTGCAGCCTCATGTCCTCCCTGATCAGCTCCAGAAGCTGGTCATCGCTGGCACCTTCCCCTGGATGCCCATTTTCTCCAGAATAGTCTTAACAAACATGTAAGAAAAAAAACTGATAGAGAAAAGAGGACAACTGGTTATTCCTTTCATGTTTTCGCAGAAAAAAAACTCAAACGAGTTTTTTAAAATATGAGATGTTATTGTACCTCCATGCCACAGCCGCCGAATACTTTGCTCCGGTGATCATGTGGTCCATCTCCGCCCTAAGTTTAATAAATTCCCTGGTGTTCTCTTTTGTCCCTAAAATACAAACTTCTATTAAAATCAGGGGATAACGTAGCGGGAGAAGTACGACACCGAGCGCGGCCGAACATACGAGCCGAGACCGCAATACAAGCACTTTTACTGTTACATTTCTAACTAAAATAATGTTCATGTATCACAAAAAGCCCTTAACCTAACAGTTTTCAAGTTTATACTGACATTTATATGCACAATCCTCTCCGACAGCTCCCGCTTCACTGTCCGCCATTGTTTTTAAGTTTTTCTGCCGGCCGGCCCGCAAGGCATCTTGGGAAATGCTACCTATTGAAGGATACACCGGACCCATCCTTCATTCAGGCGAAAAGAAGGCCGCATTCGTCGACCGCATTTGAAGGAGTCTTCGAATTGGGACAGGCCTAGTCGCGGCGCTGTGACGTAACCGGCCGACGAATCCGGCCGACGTAGGATGCAGACCCTGAATTGAGACACAGCCCCTGAATTGAGAGCTGGGTCATTTGCCCCCTCTTCCCCTCCTCGAAGACGAGTCACGACACTACCGTAACCGTTGCTATTTGTGACGTTTTAGATGCCTATTGGCTGCAGCGCACAGGCACGCTTCTGTCTGCTGTGCAATTTGGTCCAATCAACAATGAGAGTGCGACACCAGAAACGCCTGAAAACACAAGCAAAAAATACGTGATGAAGAGCGAAGACAAAGAAAAATCAGAACTGGACGGCGAAGTTGGATAAAATGCGTCGGTGGTTAGGACAGACGCAGTGGCGGCTGGCCAGTAGAGGGCGATAGGGCGTCGCCCTCCCAGTTTCCCCTGTGTTTTTAATTTTTATTTTAAAAAATAAACAAATAAAATTAACAATAATCACATATTCTAAGTTAATTGTGTGTTTTGTAACAAAAATAAATCATATATATATCTATATTGGTCTGCCGAGCGGTGGAGACTGTGTGCTGTTTTTCAATCGCCCAAACAAGACGGGACCAGTTGTCCAATTGCTGACAAGAAAATCAAAGGGTAGGAATGGGAATGTATCCAATCAGCGTCGACGTTGCTTCAGAACGTTTCAAAAATGGAGCTAGGCTCTGAGAAAATTGCTTGTAAAATTCTGCAGTAAAGCCATCCGTTCCAGGTGATTTGTTTATTTTTAGCTGGTTAATAGCATTAGTAATTTCCTTCAGTGAAATAGAGGCATCACAAAAATCGGAGTCAGCTTCAGAAATCTGATTAATATTAGGGACAGAATTAAAAAAGGTAGAAGCTTCCTGAGAGCAATATCTTGAGCTGTAAAGATCACTATAAAACTTGGCGCAATACTGAGAAATTTTCTTTGGGTCATCAATGATTGTTCCATCAATTCTTAATTGCTGAATGGAGTTAATTCTAGATTGCTGCTTTTCTAGGCTAAAGAAATATGCAGAGTTCTGCTCGCCCTCTTCGAGCCACTTGCGACGAGATCTAACAAAGGCACCTTGCGCTTTGCGTTTATATATCTCATCTAACTTGAGCTGCTGATTGGTAAGCTCCAACTGTTCTGACTCAGTGAGTGCATCTAATGACTTAGAAGTTAGGAATGCAATTTTAAGTATAGTGTCGTTTTCCTCTAATCCCCTTTTTTTAGCTAAATCACTACTATATTTTCTAAGGAATTTTGCAATTTCGTACTTCAATAACTCCCAGTTAGTGCTAAAGAGATTTTCATTTTGAGCTTTGTCCCAATATAGTCGAATGAAACGCTCAATCTTAGAGGTCACTTCCTTGTGTTTAAGGACTGTACTGTTTAATTTCCATTAAGAGGTTTTAGGAGGACCAGGAGAAAGAGAAGGAATGATAATTTGAATAGTCTTATGATCAGATAGGGGTGCTGGTAAAATATTTGTAATCACATTTTTCAAATCCTTGGATATAAGCCAGAGATCAATGTGAGACTGCTTTGATAAAGTTTTGTTGCTCCATGTATATGATCTCTGTAGCGGGTGAGTATCTCTCCATGTATCAGTTAAATCAAAGCTTTGTAAGAATGTCTTCACATAAATATTAGAGGAGCCTTCATTCCTTGAAGGCAGCCTATCCAGGCGATTACTTAACACAGTATTAAAATCCCCGCCTAAAACCACAGAAGCTTTCGGGTATTTAGATAACCAGTAAAGGAGACGTTCTTTCAAATTATCAAAAAAAAAAAAAAACAATGTTCTCTGCTTGCGAACTGAAGCCATAAGCATTAACTATAATATAACTTACATGGGCAACCTCTAGGACTAGCAATATGTAACGACCGGTTTTGTCACGTTCAGAATTTAAAACTTTTCCACTAAAGCGGTTTTTCAAAATACAAACACCGGCTGAACGCTCTGACCCATGAGACGGCCACAGGTCGCCCCCCCACTGTGATTTCCAGAAGTTGGTGTCCTGCAGGGGCGGCGTTAGGCCCGGCTACTTGGGCTGAAGCCCCGGATCTTTCATGATAAGCCCCGGATCTAAATCGCGGAAGTAACATTCAGTACCAAAGTCCAACAGAGAGGGCGCAGCTGGCAGTAGTTTGTATACAGCCTGCCTGAGCCTCCACCACTGAAGAAGAAGCCCTTCAGCAGCTGGCTTCTTCTACACTCTGTCTGAAATGCATGAGTGAAGATGGACATAAGGACGTTTTTTTAGACCAAAAGTACAGCGGCAGAACCCCAGCTTTGATGAGACTGGTGCTGACTCAGGTTTGTGAGTCTTATTTGAAAATATTTGTTGTGCTGCTGGTTTGCCTAAAGTTAGCTTACTATCAGGTAAAGTTTTTGGAGAAAGAAAGGGAATATTTACTATCATCTCACACTAAACACTAACAGGAACAATACTCTGCCCTGAATATGCTTAATACTGTATGTAGCTTCAGATTAATAATTATGTGGTACAAGATATATATATATATATATATATATATATATATATATATATATATATATATATATATATGATGTTGACTAGTGCGTGTCGCGTGTGTGCGCGTGCACGCGCGTGCGTGTGCGCGCGCGTGTGTTAAGCCCCGGATCTTCTTCAGTCCTAAATCCGCCCCTAGTGTCCTGTTCAATTGAATGTGTTTCCTGTACAAAACAAAAGTCAGTATTAAGTTGTTTGCAGTATAAGAATATAGCCTTTCGTTTTAGATGGTTTCTCAAACCTCTTGTGTTTAAAGAGATAATAGACAAAGACATAAGGAAAATAAACAAAGTACAATTACAAGACCAGAAAAACTAGCACGTATGCAAAAATAGATAAAGGTCTCAACAAGCACCAACCTGAGTCTGAGAACAGCAAACCTTATAAAAGATTGTGAACATGTGCTACCAAATTCAAACAGGCTGTAAACCTTACAAAAATGTCGCTTAGCTAGGAAAGTCTATTCAGCGTCTCAGGGAGGAAGAATTTCCTTTCCGCCCACAAAGGCGCGACCACCTACATAGAAAGCCAGCTTGCCATCTTTCCGCGCCTGGTCAACAAGGGGCCACAGCTTCCTCCTTTTCTCTCTGTCCTCTTCTGACAAGTCCTCCGCCAGTTTCAAGCTCTTGCTCTTCAGGAAAGTGGAGTTTTTGGCGGAGCGCCACACAGCATCACGGTAGTACCTGGAGATAAAACGTATGACGACTCCTCTTGGTTGATTAGCACCGGGCTTCCTAGGGCCAAGGCGGTGAACGACATCGATGGCATCCGGAAGCTTGGTTTTGGCCTTAGGGAGCAGACCCTGGCATATGTGAATAATCTCTCATCGTAGATCCTGCTGGTCCTTCTCTTCTAAGCCGTGGAGCTTGAGATTCCAGCGTCGGGAGTAAGCCTCGAGCTGAGAGACACGCTGCTCTGTCTTATCAGAATTAACTTTGCAATCTTTATACAGAGTTTCGCAGCGGTCAACTCTCCCTTTTAGTTCTTTTACTTCAACACAAAGAGCATTAAAGGATTCTTTAACATCCGCAATTTGCTTGGTGTTTTCTGTGACTGCCAGCTTCACTTCTGCAATCACTGCGGAGTTGTCACTCACCAACTTTTCCAATGCATCTGACCTGTTGTTTATCAGCTGTGTGAGGGAGAAAAGCTGGGAGAGGATTGCATCCATTGTCGAGTCTTCCACTCGTCTCCATTTAGGTGCAGGCGAGTTGACCGGGGTGACAGGGAGAGGCGGAAAACTATCTTCCAGTAACGAGACCTTCGGTGGATCCGCATCTGACTCGAGATAGTCATGCATATTGTCAATTAGCATGTTGTTGGTCTCTGGCAGATCAGCGGGAGCTAGCATAGCAGCCTTGTTAGTAGAGCACGTGCTGATCAGCACCTTCTTTACATCACTCTTCCTCCTCTCCTGGGGTTTCATCTTACCAGCAGACGTAGCCATAGTGCAGCCAAACAGACGCGACAGATAACTAAAGGCGAAAGTTCAGTTTGTTCACTCTAACTATATAGAAAACAGTTCGGTTTGCGGAGCTCAGCGACGCACGTCCACTCAGAGGGCCATCTTGGTTGACACCCCCCAACCCCCCCCCCCCCCGAGCAGATCTTGTACCGACACCGCCGTTCTATTTCGTCTAGTCTTAGCCCTTAAGCGAGCTGCTATTGGAAGGGTGATCTCAGCATCAGCCAATCATGAAGAGCTTAAATGTACGCCCAACACGTGGGCACCCCTTGTGGGTTATATAAGTGGAGCGACTCCACTGTTCGCCTCCGTTTTCTCTTCACGCCAAGCTTAAGAGCTTCCTTTAAGAGCAATTATACAAGAAAAATCTACTCACCGACCATGTCAAGCGACGCCAGGACCTGCCCGGCCTGCCAGACGGGCTTCATCTCCAGCGGCGACCTGCACGCCAAGTGTGAGGTCTGTCTCGGGGCTCACCACGCTGGCCTGGCCTTAACCCCCAGGCCTCGTGCCCGTTTTGTACCGCTCTGCCCGTGGCTGAAAAGGTGCACCGGGTCGAGTACTTCACCCCCTCCACCGATGAGGAAATTCCGGTGGCTGGCACGTACTCGCTGGACAAGGCGTTACGGTTCTTCAACGTCGGCCAGGAGCCGGCTGGCTCCTACCGACTGGACGATGTCATCGACAGCGAGGAGTACGACGAAGCTGGCTGCCATAGCCCTTCTTCCCTCCTGTACAACACCGAGGTCGACCACGAGGCTGGCTGCCATAGCCCTTTTTCCCTCCTGTACAACACGGAGGTCGAGAAGCCTCGTGAGGAGCACGACGAGGCTGGCTGCCGCAGCCATTATTCCCTCCTGTACAACACGGAGGTCGACGAGCCTCGCTCAGCGGGTCCTTCTGCCCCAGTGGCTTCTCGCTCCTCCCTGCCAGCAGTTGGACCACTGCTCCAGGAGCTGCCCGCCATCATCTCCGCGGCTGCGACCCGCAAGCGGCTAGCCGTTCCAGAACCGGCTCCCCTGAGGCAGATGAATTGGCGGGAATTTTCGGGGCAACACAGACGCGCCGTCCAGAACCCGTCTGG